CTTTAGGCCCTGCCGGACATGACAGAGCCTGAGTAGTACTGTAGGCACCGGGTTTTACGGCCTACAGTATTGCGGGCGCCGCCTTCAACCCTCGGGCGTGGAGCCTGACACAAACACCGCAATAGGACTGACGTCCCCGATGCTGACAAGCGTGCGGGTGCCACACCGTTCGCCCCCCACAGTATCGCAGGCCGACACTCCTGCCCGACACGCCGCCCGCAGAGGCGAGATGGGACGTGACCACTTGCAGAACGCAACATCATCAGCACACAAGTACCCGGCGAACGTGCCAACCTCTAACACCACCTGACCGTGTCTGAGGCTAGCTTGGAGGAAAAGGAAGACTCGAGCCTTTCGAAGGACCTTCTTTATCCTTGGTATTTTTCTCTTTCATCCATCTATAACCCCTGCTCCCCCTTCGTCTATAAAAGGGAGGACAGGCTCCCCTATTGAAGGGGGACCGAACAAATCAACTTTCAACGGACAACTCACATACATACGAGCTCATAGAGCATTCAGTTCTACACACACAGCCAAGTAGCCGCCAGGCCCTTGGTATCCTTTCGACCCCTCCATCAGAGACCTGGGACCTGTTCCTTTCTCTCGACCGTTTGTACCCTTACTACTAAACCACATTCGGTGCTAATAATACAAGCAGCAGCAGCAGACTGAACGTAGGGATATTCGGCCCGAACCAGTATAAATCTTGTGTCCTTTAGCACACCATCCAAACCTAACGTGCATCCATTATAAATTTACTCATCGATGTTTGTTCGAAACACCGACATAGGTACAATAACAGTCCAAGTCCAACCAACTGCAGAGAGTACGGAGAGACTTTTGGTCTTCGACAACGCCTCGTATAGTATACCTAATCTAAAACGAAGAAGATATTATTGATAGCAGTGCTAAGAGATGGCTGCCACACTCCGTAGTCAAAAGAATAGATGCTGCAGCTGTAATATAATACAGCCAACGACACAGCCAGTCTCGGTATACTATAGCCTAAAGACCTCTGGAGTAGCAGTGTAGCAGTAGGCCAGTGGGAGCACCGAGGACCGATTGCAATAGCTACTCCCCCATCACAATCACATTAACGAGCTGGCCTGGCATCGCTGGATTGGACGCCACTAACCGCGCGCCTGCCTCGGCGCCAAATGAATTAACAACACAGGACAATCGACAGCGTGACTTGCCCCCGACAATAAAGAAAAAATAGTAGTAGTATAAGCTACCGTAGGCGCCAATCGTCCGGCCTGACCACGCGCATGTCATTCTCGCTTCTAAGTTAACTTTTTTTTTTTACTTTGATAAATTATATATAAAAAAATATTAATATTTATAATATATAATTAGTATGATTAGATAGATCGTTGAATATATTTTTATAATAAACTTATTTAGAGATAAAAATGTTGCACATATTTTTTAAAAAAATTAGTTAAAATTAGGATCCCTAAGTCCAAAAAAAATATGTTATGGGATGCATCTAAGTCAAACATTTTTTTTATAATTAAAAATATTACGTCGCCGGGTGCCATGCCGGCGACAAGACAAACGCGCACAAGAGGAGAGAACCCGGACCCTGTTCGCGGAGGGAGACGCGCGCGGGCGCAGGGAACAGGGAAGCGCGCGGCACCGTCTCGGAAACATCGCGCAGATGCCTGCCGGATGCGCTTCGCCGGCTTGTCCCTGAGTCGCCACGCGTTTGGTTGACATCTAGCTCAAGCCCTCTGGCCTCGACCATAGTAGACCTTGTTCCACGAACCGTTACTACGCGGCTGTGCATGCAATAGGATGCCCACGAACCATGATGCACTAACACCTCTCTCGCTCTCTGCCGGTGAGAGGTTAGCGCAGGATGCAAGTGCAAGGTGTATGAACTTCAAAACAACAGGCACAATAGTAGCGTAACCACCACGTCCTATTGCAACGAACCGGAAAAGAATCTGAGTGCCTGTCTATATCCTAAAATTTTGCAAAATTTTTTAAGATTTTCCGTCACATCGAATTTTTGTACATATGTATGAAGCATTAAATATAAGTAAAAAATAAAACTAATAACACAGTTTAGACAAAATTCACGAGACGAATCTTTTAAGCCTAATTAGATTATGATGGGACACTAATTACCAAATAACAACGAAAATGCTACAATATTATTTCTCAAAAAAAAAAAACGCCAACTAAACAAGGCATGAATCTGTTGCGCAGTAGCTTCTGGTACTTCTTGACTGTTTTTCTTTTCTGAGTCCATCAAGGACAACGGTGGCTTCTGGTGCTTGAGACTGTTCCTCAGTCCAACACGAGGACAGCAGCAGTTGTTGACTAGCAGGCAACCTAATTATGGGATGCATCAAAGTCAAACATTATCGCGTTGGTTGGACTTGACTGTTACCGTACCTACTGCTGCACTTGCATCGCTCACGACGTAAGACAGTCGTGGCGCAGTAACCACAGCGTCGAGCTCGGCGTCAAGATCTACGGTGTCGAGCTGCCTGCCATGTCACCGTTACGTCAGCGTCGAGCTCAATAGCTCGGCGCCAGCAACGATGGCGCCGAGCTAAGAATCTAGATTTTGAAATCTTTCCTACATGGATATATTTATGATTTTTTTTTAAAAAAAGAGCTAAAAATAAAAAATTTGGCCCCCTCGGTCCCCTGTCTCTCTCTGGGTTGCTTCTGCGGCCTCGACCGCGGCGGCCTCGCCATTTGACCAGGGCCGACGATGGCGTGCCGGCCTGCGCGAGGTGCGCAGCAGCTGCGTAGCACCGCGGGGTGCCCGCGCGTGGCAAGGGAGGGGGCGGCGGGGGCCCGGGGCGGCTGGGCAAGGCTGCCCGCGCGTGCACATGGGAGAGGCAGCGGCGCAACTATGCCGATGATACACGGGAGTGCCCGCGACGCAGTCTGGGGTGGCTAGAGGAGGGCCGGCCACGCGCGCTGGCTGCTCGCAGTCGCGTCGGCGAGGCCCTTGGCAGTTGCACGCGTCGAAGGCCCTGCGGCGGGCGCGGAGCCGGAGTGGCTGTGCTTCGCGGCTGGCTCGGCGGCGGCCGAGGAGCCCAAGCAGCCGGCGCGAATGCGACGGCGTGCGCACATCCCGGTGACTGTAGCATGGAGAAGGTGGCAGAGGAACGTGGCCGGGAGGGGCACGTCGGTGGCGGCAGCCGGCGTGCTGGTCCGCGTCCACCCGGTCCCGTCTGGTCGAGCATGCTGGTCCACGTCCACCCGGTCCCGTCTGGTCGAGCATGCTGGTCCGCGTCCACCCGGTTCCGGCAGCCGGGCGCCTCGCGGTCAGCCGAACGTGCCGGTCAGCTTTAATTCTCACCTCCAGCTAGCATCAGGTAAGCGAGGTGCCCTGTGAACGCCCGTCCATGGTGCACCTAGCACCTGGCATTTTGTTGCAGCGGGCCGCGAGCTTGTCCCTGAGTCCGTCCACCTCGGCCTGCTTGGACTATAGCTAGCGCTGGAGGTCGTCGAACGTAGCCTCGTACGGCGCCACTACCTCGCGGAGGGGCGGCGCGGAAGGGTTCGGGCATGGACAGGTTCGGCAACGACTGCTGCGTCCACGGCGCGAATCTTGTCCGTGGCAGTCCGCTCTGTGTACACGGTCGCTGCGGCGGCCACCACCTTCGGGCCCGGGCATTGCAGCGGAGCGCCGCTACGTACGAGGAAAGCCGAGGCCCCGAGTTTCCTGCGTACGAGGAACGCCACAGCTGATGCCGGGTAGCCAGACACCGCCGCGCCGAGGAAGCAGGCCAGTAATGCCGCGGCAAGGAGCCTAGAACGCTCGCCCCTTGCTCTAATGCTGCCGTCGACGGCAAGTTCCCGCGCTCGCGAGACCACGGCGGCTCCAGCTTCCCGTGCCTGGAGATGGAGGCACGCGCACGACGTCGCCACACTCAACAAAGGGCGTGCGCTGTGCTCAACTTTCCGGACCTCGAGCGCGACCACCCGCGCCCGGCCTCCCTTGCGCCGCCCGACGTCCAGGCCGGCGCCGCCATCTCCTTGCCTAGCCGGTGCGGCGACGGTTACGAGAGAGGAGAGAGATAAAGGACAAGAAAGAGAAGGAGAGAAGGACATGACAAGTGGGTCCCACAGTGCCACATCAGTGTACGCAGTGCGTTAAGATCCACTTGGACCCAGACGAGACCCGGAAAGTTAAATGACCCAGAAATATCATTTTGATAGTATAGGGGCCTAGATAACACCTCATGCAAAATTCAAGGACCTCTCATGAATTTTTCTCTCTCTCTTTTTGTTACGACAGCCGCGAACAATGAGCGCGTGCGCTCTATTAGTGGTAGCAAGAATATACGCCTACCATGTTCAAATCAACCGGGCCTGTAAACTGCACCGCATTTTTTTTGTCCTTTGTACAAACAAGTCCTTCGAGTAAACAGCAAAGCGAGTCCAACTGTTCCCAAGTATTCTGCTAGGGAAGGTGTTGCCAATTTGCCATCATGAGGGTCACCAACTTCAGACCTCAGTGACCTGATGAAACAATCATATATGCTAGCTCATGCCGACTTCGTGATTGAATTACTGAACGTTTGCGGTTTGCTCGGGTGTTGGACGAATTCAAACTATAAAACAAACTTTTGGGCACGGGGCAGGTGTATATCCATGAGAAAAATAAAAGAAACCAACAACCCAGTTGATGAGCCAACCATATATAATCCTCATCCCCTTGATCACTCCTACCACCAGCCAAAAGCGACCAATCCCGTTGAGCTAAGCAGTGCAGGTGATACTTGCAACCTCCGGCTGCATATATATTCTTCGGACCAGCCAATGGGCTCAGCAGTGCAGGTGAGCTAAGCAGTGTATCTTGTCGGTCGAGTTGACTTCCAGAGCTGCCAGCCACCTTATATGAAGCGCATAGAATTGAGCAGTGATTATGCACAGAGTTCAGTTCCAGCAGCAGCAGCAGACAGACCTCTTATCAGGACACGCAAAGTCTATCCAGGGGTGGTGTCATTGCCATCACTCATCAGCTCACCATGTCTAAGGTTAATTTGTGGTCACATTTGTTTCTCCCGATGTTGATTCTGAATTTCTGATCACGAACCATTTGTTGTACTGATGATGAATGTGTTGTGCTGTCCATTACTTGTTGCAGAAGATAGTGGTCAAAGCTGACCTCGTCGGCAAGACATGCATGAGGGATATCATGTCAGTTGCTGCGACGCTCCAAGGTATCCATCCGTCTGTCTGCCAAGCAATGTATCATGCACCTTCCAAGTCCCAACAAATTAATAAAATAGCCTTACGCTACATGTCTCCTCCAGGCATCAAGTCGATGGAAGTTGACGCTGAGAAGTGCACGCTGACGGTGGTCGGCACCGTCGACCCGGTGTGCATCGCGCAGAAGCTCAAGAAGAAGTGCTTCGCCGTGAATATCATCAGCGTCGAAGACGACAAGCCCAAGCCCCCGGCCCCGGAGAAGCCGAAGGACCCCTGCAAGGAAGCGTGCGAGAAGAAGTGCGACAAGATCACCTGCTGCAAGGAGTGCAAGGACAAGTGCAAGGAGACGTGCGAGAGGCGGTGCAAGGCGTGGCTCGAGAGCGGCGGCTGCTGCTCCTGCCGCACGCGCTGCGCCGTGCCCAGCTACCCCTACAGCGGGTGCAGCGGTGGCAGCTGGCCCTGGCCCTACGGCTGCTAGGAAGACAGGTCGATCGTCGGGACTGGAGGAGCGAGAGAAGGCGCCAGTGTGTGCTTTCAGTATCACCATCATCGTCTATGAATTTCGCTATGTACTAGTACCTTATTATTAGTGCGTTTTTACTGCTTTGGTTTTCTTTTTTCATATGCACATGTCGTTTGAAATACCGGGATGATTAGGTTAGTATTCGTCGTTGTTGTTGATTCGCGATCTCTATTTGGCGAACAGTCACGCCACGTACTGTGCGCGCGACACCCCTCCGTGACGGGCCAGCCCAATAGTGCCCTTCGCCTCCCCGAAGTTCATCTCCCAACGCACCCAAATTCCAAATCGTCATTCCTTTCCTATCCAGTCGGGCACCCAATCCGTCGCTGTCGGAAGTAGAGTTGGCGAACAGCGGTGGCGGCAGGTGCGAATATGGAGGGGAGAAGCGACCGCGCAGCCAAACCCTAGCCCCACGCGCGCGACCACGGGGAGCCCCACGCCGGTCACCGCTCCCTACAGCGGCAGCGTCCCAGCTTCACGACATGGTGATCCCCTCTTCCTACTCTTCGCCGTCGCTGTTCCATTCGTGTTTGCGATTTATTTTCTCTCTCGTCCGATGATTCAGTTCATCCCCGCACTGACGCTTTTTGCTTTTTGGTGATGTTCCTTCTACGTCTTTGTAGGCTGATTCCCCTCGCAAGAGGAAATTACTCTGGTTTCTGTATTCATCTATGGGCGTCGTAATCCTCAGTCGTTGGTCACCCCTGGTCTGGTCCTAGTGGTATTAACTTATGGGATTTCAGCTTAGGATCTGTACTGATTAATAAATTGATGATGATTATGCAATCCCCTAGGTTCCTGTTTTTAGTATAGTGAGTGTACCCAATATTTTCTAGCAAGTTAGAATATCCTTCTGTGGCAAGTTACTTAAAAATTAAATTTAATTCAGTAAACTTGTGGTGCCAAGTTATCTTTTTTTGTGGCAAGTTGCATAAAGATGCCGACTTTTTAGTGATCTACAAAGGCCAGCTAAACTTGCCAAATCCATGGATAGTACGCACAAGTCTTTAATTTGGAAACTATGTTTGGTAGCTTCATATTCCTATGGTCTTTCTTCTTCATACTAGGTCTGCATGTGAGGTACAGTACTACATAAATCTTATTAGAGGCGGGCAGAATGGGTTAATAGAGGTGGGCATTGCAACCGCCTCCAATCAATGGTCACGGTTAATCGTGACATAACGGAGGCGGTTGCCCTGCCCACCTCGGTTAATCATTTAACAGAGGCGGGCGCTTTAAGGCAACCGCCTCTGTTAATGTTGATTAACGGAGGCAGTTGCCCTAAAATGCCCGCCTCCATTATTGTTTTAACAATGGTGGTCGCTATAATACGACCGCCACAGATACAGGTTTAATGGTGGCGGGCTATGTCGTAAACCGACCAATTTATAAGAGTACAAGTACAATGGCGTCCCAGCAAGCGGTCGCACTGTCATACTTGAACCCATATAAACCCGATAGTCCGTCGAGTACCACGACGGGTCTCGATAAACGATTTACAACAACCAAGATCGTACATGATTCAACATACATGACACATATTACATAAAGTTCACATATACATTTTCATCATCAGAGTATGAAACCAGTTATTACAAACCGAGTTTGATAGATAAAGCGGAAGCAATTAAGTTCGAAAGTAAAGTTTCCAACATAGTTTGATACAGTGCCAAGATACGATCACGGTCCACAAAAGCATGTAGAAGGATTAATAAGAAGCCTGACCAAGGCTTACTCCTCATCCACAGCGGGATAGAAGCAACTCTTGCAATAACCATGATACACAGTGCAATCTGCAATATGGGAAATAAAACCCTGAGTACGAGAAGGTACTTAGCTAGACTTACCCGTCGAAAACCAGAAATAAAATGACTCCAAGGATTATGCAAGGCTGTATAAGTGGGGATAGCTTGACAACATTTTGCATAAAAGCGGTTAACTTAGCTATACAATTATGGTTCCAATATCAGGTTAATTATAACTATCTATCTCTAGATTAGCAACTATCCTGTGCCAAACATGTGGTATATCCATTTAAAAGCATACAATAGTAACCATAGCAGGTATTGTAATTCCATATTCATTCGAATCATCATGTTCCATAACACAGTTACTACGATGTTGGGACTAGCCAAGTTTCTCACTATCCGGGAGAGACGGCGATTCGAATCGATTTCAACCAGCTGGGAATTTATTCCTAACACAAACCCAGGCATACCGCGCGAAGACAGCCTTAGGTCACCTTTGGTACAACTCAGGTCTACATTTTGTGGGTCCGTACTGCGCCGCACAATCTGGGACACCAGATGCCAGGACGTTTAGGCCTAGCCTGCCCTTGGACTCAGTCTGATCGTCCCCCGCAAGGAGCGCACAACAAAACGGGTCCCGGCCTGAGTTGAATTACTCGGCTTCGCGGTCGGAACAAGTTATCCGGCTAGCTAAGTGATAGGCATGCGTTCAATCTTGTCAGAAGCACCAACAATGGTACGGTCCTTAATCGACACAGACGGGGATAGATCCACACCCAAGACCTCCATGTCTTGTTGCTTCTCTATCGACATCCTGCCCGGTCTCCATTTACATTACCCATGGTTCTTTTCCCACGATAGCAAATATAGCTAACCGTGCTCCGGTATCCACCTATATCTCGCAGGTGACAGGAAATCACCCGACTTCTACCGGTCTAAGCATGGCTAAGCATATATTCGATCCTGGACCTATACCGGTTAAAGGTGTAATAGCTGGACAAGAAATTTATATGCATCAAGTGGTTCCATTCAACTCTTATAACCTAATGCATCAATCATAAGTACTTAAGTAATCATTTGTAAAATACTGAAAGACTTAGAATGCTTTGGGGCTTGCCTCGCAGAAAGGAAGTAGGGCAGTGATCATGACACTCCGGAAGCTCTTCAGGATTCTGCTCCTCGCCTTCGGGAGCTGCGACTTGAGGATTCTCCTGCTGGTCCCCTTCCTCTACTTCGTCGAATTTCAGCAACGTTATTTCTTCCTCCGATCCTAGATGCATGAATATGGCATAAGATATTGCGAATGCATACATGCGTACAAGTATAAAATGATGACACATGAGGAATGCATTCGTATAAGTATTCTTAATAGCATGGTGTTAACAAATGCATCATATTTTACCGAGTAGGTACATATCTCTTCTTGACTACTTAATCAAACACATTTACAATTCATTCACTACACACAAAACAGCAGCTGCTTGTTTTACTTATAACTGAAGTTCTACTTATCTAAATGTTGTGATATTAGACTTTCTAGAAAGCTTATAAAATTGTCTACAACTCTTATTTAATCACCAAAAGCTAATTCGCAATTTATCTTAACCAAAACAGACAATCAATCCAGCGCTGTCTAGAAATTCTAGAGAACAAGCAAATTCGGAAAGGCTAACTTTAAACAGCTGTAACTCCTAAACCGTTTGACCTATGGTCCTAAAATTTTAACACAAGACATATGATGAAGTTATCTACAACTTTGTTATTAACTATTGTTACAGCAAACATCATTTTTATCATGCAACTCATCAAACTCCAGAATCTGTCTGGAATCCATCCAATTCGCATTACAAAGTAACAATACTTCTACTTCATCTAATCATTCAAAGTTTGACAACACAAAGTCTAGCAACAGTTTAAGCATACCAAATACATCCAAGAAAATATAATGGTGAAGCCCAAACTATTTATTTAAATGCCTTTATTATTTTATTTAGATATTTAGGTTAAATAATAAACATATAATAGATGTACTTCATAAATTCTCAAAAATTTACAGTGGCTTACTAGTGCTACAAATAGACTACTGTAAAAGTTTCATGCCATTTTGCCAAGTAGAACACCCTATACAAAAATGACAAGGCAGCAAGGCTTGAAATAACATAAATAGAAAACCTTAGTGAAAAGTGTCAAGCAACAGATTTCCTATTTTTCTTAGCATCCTTATGGTACTAGGATTACCCCCAACAAATTTCATGAATTTTGGATTCATAAATAATTTATAAAAATTCATACAAGGATTAACTATTTATAAAAGAAAAATCTATAACTATAAATCTACCCATGCACTGATCATCAAATTTTTACCAGAGCTCATACATGACAAGAATAGCTTACCACAAAAATTTCATAATTTTTGGAGTACAGGAACTCTAGATATAAAATAAACAAATTTGCATGCATTCAAAAACACATTTCAAATTTCTATTTAAATCTTCCAAAAATTCTACTGTAAGTGCCAAGAATATATTTTCCTAAATACTACACTTCCTAAGGAACACTACACAATTTATTGCACAATTTTTGAAGCTACCAAACTGGAGATATAAAAATCACAAAACAATTCAAAATCGGGAATCAAATGACCTATCCTATCTCCTGCTGTCGCTGACCGGTGGGACCCGTCGGTCAGAGGACCCCACATGTCATCGAGACAAGAACAGAGCAGGAGGCGCTACTCTACTGGCGTGGCCAGAGCTCACCGACGGCGAACCTGCCAGCGGTGACATCTTCACATGGTGATCTACTCGACCTCGTGCACACATTGCACTACTCGATGGGACCTCTCGTCGGTGCTAGCAACGGCGGCGGCCATGGCGGGGCGGAGGTGCGGGATGACGGTGAGACGCCGGTGGAAGCTACGACGACTCGATCAAACGCTATGCCGAGCATCACAGAGCTACGGCGAACCTAGCTAGCGCTCTAGCGTGGCCTGGGGTGGTCTGGTTAGGTGGGACCACGGTGACGGAGGTAGCAGCGGAGCTCCGGCGAGCTTGTGCATGGCGCTGGCGCTTACCGAGCACGGTGAGTGAACACTGGTGGATGCGGTGGGTTGCTGGGGTGGCGGTGGAGCTGTTGCGGTGGCGGAGGAGCAGCGAGGATGAGCTGTCATTGGCAATGGCGCTGGCGGCTCTCGGTGCGGGGACGGCT